CTCAGTGAAATAGTGTCAATGTTTTTATTGGAGCTTCCTCTTGAATTAGTTGAGTTTGCATGTCAGTACATGAAATAGTCAAGGCACAGTCTCATGACACCAGTGATAACACCTAGTTGACCCTGAAACATAGCTAGATAGACAGACAGACAAGTTCTTACTTGAGTGAGAAACCAGCAGGGAATCCCAGTAGGTTAGACTGGGAAGTAAAGAAAAATCCAGGGGGAGGAAATGCAACTACTTCCGTATTGTTGCCAAGAAAATTACATGGACATGTAGCTAAACTTGACTCAAGGGAATCCTTATCTAGAAACAATATTGGGGGTGAATAGAAGAACTCTGATGGTTCAATGGCACTTGTGGCTAAAGGACGTGAATTAAAAGTGGATCAGAACAGACAGATTAAGCACAAGTTATGGCAATTATTAACAGCAATTACGTTTTAGGAAAATTAGGTAGCAAATCACCTCTGTACTTTAATAAAGAATGTTGTTGATTGTATCTCTACCATGATGAAAAGCTTCTTCCCTTCCCTTCTAAAAATTCATTTTGTACAAACAAGGTCTGAAGTATTGTGTAAAAACCTATCTCTAGTTACAGTGTTCTTTTTGTAAGGGCATAGATCATAAAATTAATTACATTCCAAGAGTAAGATTGGGGCCAAATGCTTTTGCCTAAAGTATTTCAAAGGAAAAGTTGCTGGCCACAAGTATATCAGCCTCATTAAAATATCACTTTGGGGAACAGAAAATGCAAAGTAAAAATGTAGAACGGCAGTACCGAAAATTTAGTAATAAAACAAATGCTGTAGAAGATGAATTAGTTTATATAATCCTTTCCTAGCATGGCTTCCACTAAACAGAATTTGGCAAATAGTTTCCTTGTTTCTAATTAATGTGTTTTGTTCTCCAGGGCACTTAATATTGACAATATAGGTGGAAGCCTCTTGCAAAATACTAAACATATAGCATAATATGTCTTTTGAAAGAAACAGTCTCTCCTCTCCCACACCATTTACACCTACTGACCCCCAAAGTGTTCCCGCTTTTAAGCTTCACTCAGCAGGAACTGCAGAAGTATGTCAAGGAGAGTAGCAAAGGAAGCAATCAAGCCAATGGGACTCTACTTTAATCTCATTAGTGCTGTCAGGAACCTTCTTTTGGAGTTTCCTACAGAATTCCTGTTGTCTGTTTTTTCATCCCACTTCATGTGTGAGCCTGAGAGCAAAATCACCCAGAAATACAGATTTGATACTACAATTGTGGTGACCATATGCAAATCACTCTCTTCTTTCTGTCTAATCCAGATGGTCATCAGGACCCTACTGGATATAGGTGACATATCTGAAAATGAAATCTGGCAATTGATTTCCTTGTTTATTGGGTTTTTTTTAAAGTGCTTATTGTTGGGATTAATTTACTTAAAAATTATTCTGATTGTGTATATCTCTGTTGTCCTCAAGTAAACCACAGACTTCTTCAATTGTTCCATCTCGTATTTATTAGGGCAGTGCAAATCTTCAGAACTGATGCTTCTCCTCAGCTCCTCAGAACGGCTGTCATGAAGAAGGAGACTTATTCTTTACTGCCCCAGAGGGCAGGGCTGGAACCAATGGGGTACAACTACAAGGAAGGGGATTCAGGCTTGACATCAAGGGGAGCTTCTTGGCTGTACAAGTTGTCAGCCATACATATGTGAGTCATACTAGATACTAGAGTATCCATTCTCTGTTTGAAGACCTCTGTTGATGGAAAACTCACCATTTTATGCAGCACCTCATTCCACTGGCTGAGCAGGGAGATAGACTGGATGATTTTTAATGTCCCTTCAAACTCTGTAATTCTATGTATGAGTGCACAGAAATCTCTTCCACAAATAATGCTGGAAAAGTAACTAGGAGTGATGTGAAGCATCTCCATAAAAAGAAGTATGTTACTTACATGGTGGGAAGTACCACTCTGGAGAAAATTGTGGCTGCCTTGCAAAGGCCTTATATTTTTAAGCTGTAGAATAACGTGCCACAGCATTTGCATGTAGTACAGAGACATTACCAGTCAGATGCATCTTAGTTCAGCCTAAAATACGTAATGTCTTACAGCCTCAAGAGTTAGTAGCTAAACCATTTCACAGTGATAACTACTCGGCAGCAAGAAGGAAATTATAGCATGGAGCAAGCCTGCAGATGCAATATTTCTGAACTAGGACACTCCTAAAAGGGCAGTAGCTATTAACGTTTCTAGAAGTTTAATTTTATAGTAAAAGATTTAGCAGCATAGTGAAAAGTAAAAAAAAAAAAATGATAGAACAGTTAGCTACGAAGGAAAAGAAATAACTTAAGCTAATATTAGAGAGAATATATTTCAGAATTGGTCTTGTTTTATCATCTCATAGCTTATGGCTAGGATAAAAGGTCATGGATAATTGGTGAAAGAGTGAGGAATGCCTTTCAAAATGTGACCCTTTCATAGTCTTAGTTGAAGCATGACATGCAGGATTGTTAAAGGAACAGGCATTTTAGGACACTGACATTTTTAATCACTGAATCATTAAATCACCGCCTTAAAAAAAAGTTTACAGAAGATTCAGAATCTACACTAAAATCACCCCACACCCCCAACATCAGCAATGTCTATATGTAAAAGTTGGAGGAAAAACATTAACAGGTGAAAAATCTTTGCATATGTGATTCAAAGTGTATCTGATGCAAATATACCATGTAAACATTTTGTTTGTAAGAAGTTAATTAAAGTGCATTCCCATAATCAAAGCAGACATTTTAAAATATGTCATTCAATTAAACTCAAATAAAACTATATATTTTTTTAAAAAATAGAAAGTTAGATGCATATACAAAAACTTCCAATTCTTTCTGCTTTATGTAGGCTGCAGTCTTATACCTACTTAAGAAGATAGCCTACTTCAGAAGACAGCTTTGCCTCTCATGCAAGAAATATTATGAACTTCAGGGGAAAGATGAACAAATGATATAAAGAGGTTGTTCTTCTGAACTGCACATACCCACCAAACTTTGCACTGGGACACCATGCTGTCCAGCTGTGCAGAACTTTGGATTTGATTTCAAAAAGATGCTTTGGACCTGTGGGAGGCAGCCAAGTAATCTCAGGAAAAGACACAGTTGCTTTAAAGAGCTTCAGATATGTGCTATATTTATACCCCCATGTTGGCATGCTATACAGAGATCTTGGGCATGAAACACTAGCATGTAACATTTTTAATGGCATGCCTGCTTCTATATGGGCACCTCTATCTAGCTGAGGCTTCTGGATTTGGTCATGTAATCTTCAGAATGCACAGAGTACTAAGTGACATTTATAGTACATTAGCATGGGATCAATATTACAGCCGGCTAGCTAATTTACTCTACTGGGTAATCGGGGAATTTGTGGAAACCTTCTTTGAAACTATCAGATGACATTAAGTCAGTAAACAAGTTAGAGAAAACATAACTGCTTGTCTTAGCAAAGAGAATCTTCCTTTATATCAGTGTTTCTCAACCTCGGCCACTTGAAGACGGGTGGACTTCAACTCCCAGAATTCCCCA